CTCGAACTCCTGAGCTCAAACAATCCGCCTGCCTCAGCCTCCCAGAGTGCTAGTATTACAGGCGTGAGCCACCACACCCGGACTTCTTTTATGTTTAATATACACCTTATACACATAGCCTGAAAATAATTTTATATAAGTTCTTAATAATTTTGTGCACCTATTACATGAGGTCAGGTGGGGAATTTTCCACTCTCGGCATCAAATCAGTGTTCGAAAAATTTCAGATTTTGGAGGATTTTCGTTTCAGATTTTTGGATTATGGATACTCAACCTATACTGTATTAACAAGACTACATATTTAATTTTTTTCTAGAATTTTTATTGACATTTTTGTGGTTTAACAGATATTGCAGTCACCCCTCACTTAAGGTTTAAACCATTCTCCCTAGTTTGGACTGCAGCACGGAAACATACATAATTATTCCTTTGAAAAACAGCAGAAGTGGTACTTTGCCTCTAAGTGCAGTTGTTGAGTTATGAAAAGAAGTTTTTGGTTGTGGCAATCACCAAATTAAGAGCAAAGATATTCCAACAGGCAACTTACATTTACTTGTTCACTGGGCCGGCAAGGAGGTTCATTTATTCTGCATTTATTTGGAGTGGGGGAGTACAGTGAGGGCAAGAATTGGTTTATCTTGTTCTTTACGACATTTGCAGCACTTAGCACACAGTAGAGAATTAAAAATGACTGAATGAATGTTGTTGATTTTACAGACTCCAAGAATGTAAGTTTCTTCTGAAGGTCACTTGGGTGGTAAGAAGTCGAACCAGGGTTCAAAGTCTGGTCTGACTCCAAGGCTTGTGTCTTTTCTCTTATGACAAACTTGATGTACACATTGGCGACTTTCCAGACTCCCAGTTACAGGTCACCTCCTTACCTTGGCAGGCAGAGGTGGCGGGAGAAGTGGCAAGTGGCATCTTGGTAGGGCAGACATCCACAAATGCCATCAACGCCCCTTCTGAGGGAGCCCCAGAAGAATGTCACCTGGACTTCTGTTTTTTCAATCTGGGACCCCCCCCCCACCTTCGACATACGGAAATATATTCTAGGTTATCCTCTAGATCAGACACACATAACCCTGCAGTCCTGTAAATAGGAGGGCCAAGCCAAAGCCTTTGACAAGAGTCCTTACAAATGTGCCGACCGTGTTCAACCCATGGAAGCGCCCTCTCCTTGCTCAAGGAAACACAATCTAGGTATGGCTGAAAACATAACGAACCTCTGTATCTGTGGTAGGTGGAGAAAGAGCCTCAATTATAAACCAAAATACAAGGTATTAACAAGAGATTTAACACCTACAGTCACACTTGGAGTTACAAAGTGTTAATGAGCAGGATATACTGAGGGATGTAATTTTTTTCCCCATTGGCTGCCTGCTCTCACTGTAGGTGCAGAGTATTTGAAACCTCAAGTTGTGAAACTGAATCAGGAGGGTTTCCTGTATTATGAATGAAGTCATCTTTAAGACGAGGGACTTTCGGTGAAATGCAGGAACATTCAGGGTAATGTGTTTGCAGCAAGCAGGAGCTTGGATTTATTGCAGAGGGGAGTGAGTGAGTTGACCAAAATGGAGAATGATGAGAAGTAACTAAATTATGTATGACAGTCTTTACTGAGCAGAGGAAGGAAAAAAGCTTAACGACGCTGTGGTTGAAGTACCAGCAGCAATTGGTGATGTATTGGTCATAGGTTGGTAGGAAGAGAAATGGATCTGCGAAGACCCAAAGACTATAGACGAGTGTGACAAAGTGTGACAAAGACCAAGCAGTGGATTTGGGAGGGGGAGGGAAATCCAGGGCTCAGGATGTAATAATACATTTTTAGTGGCAACAAGACAGCCAAGTAAATCGGACTTGACATTAAAAATCATCATCTTAATCTATGTGGCTCTTTCAAGCCTGAGTCTTATCAGGGAAAAAAAATCTATAGTTAACGATGAAGTATTTTTCTTTTTTGCTTTCCCGGCATCCACCAAGAGCAGTACATAATTTAATTATTGAATCTATAAGCTGGACCAAGAGATGAAGAATAATGTGTCTGCTGTAGTGAGAAATTAGATAGAACCAACTGTTTATTCTCATCATTCTTCCTCCGTTAGGCTAAATTAATATAGTTAACAAGCTTTTGTTTGGATTAGCAGTTCAGATCTGGGATGTGCAGATCAGAACTCATGATTAGGACGGTAGCTATTATTTATGGAGCGCTGACGGTACCCTCCAGCCCCATGTGGAAACAGAATGGCGTTCTTTTGTCATTCTCTGTGCTGGAACCAGTGTCAGGGGCCAGACGTCGGAAGAGGGTAATGAAGTCCAGGAAAATCAGGTTTAGTTTTTTGGGACATAGGACCTCAGAAATGTCACCGATGGTCTTTCCCTACAGCTCTGTGTCCTGCTTTTCTGATCTTCTAACCGATTATGTGCACAATCTCAGTGGACAAACGTTAGCAGGGGAATACCAAAAGGGGTGCGTGTGCGGTGGTAAGGGATGAAGAGGGCTGGCAGGCTTCAGCCAGCACCTCGGGCCCTTCCACACATTTTGAGTGGAAACTTTCAGCCGGTCAGGCGAAGCGCAGATGCAAACGCAGCTTCGAGGCATCTGAGCTCCGAGGCACAGCGCCCCCGCCGGAGCCCGGCTGCTGCCCCAAGCCGCCAGCGGCCGCCAGCCCCGCGAGGACGCTGCCACACGGCGGGCTCATTCCAGAGAGCAGAGCCACGTTTCACTTCCTGCCCGTCTCAGATTCACGGACTAGATTCTTTGGGTCGTCTTGCAGTCACACATAGCTCCAATTTATAGCAATAGCTCTAAGTAGCGGACGGCAGATCCAGACGGGAAAGCAAACACCACCACCACGGACGGCCAGCCTCGGACGGCCACGCAGTCAGGGCCCGTGAGCGGCCCGGGCGGCTCGGCCACCCCGGCCAGTCGCCTGTGCTGCGCGTGGCAGATGCTCAGGCCCTAACGGTCGCCGGGCAGAGCGCGGGCTGCGCGCCGAGCCTGTGACGCGGCCCGGGACGTGGACCGCGCCCGCCTCGCCCTTGCGCCCGCCCGGCCGCTGCTGCCCCTTTCCGGCCCCGCCTCCTCCCCGACTTCCTTCCCCCGGAGCGGCGGCGGGGACGGCGGGGACGGGCACCGGCCTGCAGGCCCGCGGGCCCGGAGGCGCACCGGCGGCGGTGGCCGTGCGGGTACAACCCGGAACGCGGGGTGCGGGGCGCCCGGCTCGCGGGTCGGGGCCGGGACCGGGGGCGAAATCGGCCAAGCAGGGCTGGGGCGGGGCGCGGGCCCCTCGCGGTCATGCCGCGGTGGATTTCACGGCGTGCGCCGCGGCCTCTGCGAGCCGGGCCCCCTCGGGGTGGCTGAGGGAGGTCATGCCAGAAGTCGGGAGATTGTAGTCCCCTCCTGCGTCCGCATGCGGTGGGGTTCGGGGTGTAGGCCCGCGATCAGAGTTGAGGGATTGCGAGGATCGCGGGCTGCGTTCGGGCCTGTGACTAGGGGTATCTTCCTGGAATGGTTATATCTGAGCCTCAGTTCCCTGTCTGTCTCTGCAGCTGGGTTTCAGTCCTCACCCGGCTCCAGTGGGCGTCAGACCACGCTTAGGTAAATCGCCCAGTGGACGAATGTGTTCTTTTCCCCTCCTGCCCCATGCCCCTCCCTCCCTCGCCCTGCTATTTAGTTGCTTATCTAGCACCCTGCAGGGATTATGCTGACCCTTAAGCCGGTGGGAAACCAGTCCATCCAGCTTCTGTCTCTTTCTGTTAAGAGGGTTACAGGTTTCCCAGAATTTGGGCGACATAATCAGTGGGTAACCATGGTTCCCTGCATGGTAGTCTTCTTGAAGCAGAAGTTTTGGGAAATTCTCACCTTCCTTGAGACTGGATGTCTAGCCTTTCTCAGGATTTCTGAGTGATGTCTACCCAGTTCTTGTGTTGGCCTCCTTCCTTGCCCTGGTTTCATTCCTTTTGAAAGGATCTCCTTACCTGAAGCTCTAGGGCCCCCTTATGGGCTCTCCCACTTGCTCTTGTTGTGAAAACCTTGCCTTAGTAGTAGCAGCACTTGGCACTTTTCCTAGTTTCTTCCCATTTAGTTCAGTACACAAGAGTTGATAACTTCTGTCCCATCTGGGAAAACAAAGGGGAAAGGGAAGGAGCAAATTATCTGGTTAATGTCAGAGTTGGGATGGCTTCAGATGCTTGCTTCCTTTAGAATCCAGCTGGCATGGATAATAAATAATCCTGTGTGATTTAGGACAAAGTCCCTAAGTTCTCTGGGTCTGTAAGATGAGGTGTTATTGTCTGCCTTAGCTAGGAGTGAGGCTCAAGTGAGATGATGTGTATAAACTTTAAGTATCTGGAATCTATTAGAGGATCAATAAATGTCTCTTTTCCCCTCCTTCTCTCCTTTGCTGACTCTGTTTTATAAGGGAGAGAGAGGTGAAGGACAGACCAATTTGTAGGCCAAGCATGTAGAGTTACTTGAAAAACATCCTATGCAAAAGCAGTAAATAGATAAAATATTGGGAATGTGAAGTTATAGGTGCCAAATCGAAACTTCTTAAAGTTTCATAAATTTCTTAATATTTTTCTTAAGACCAGAGACTGTCTAGGGTCCATGTTTTATGATTTCTGTTTATAAATGTAGCTGAAGTTGCCTCCGTGTAGAGATCCAAAGTTTCAGTGTGGTTGGGTCGAACTGGGAAGCACATTTACCAAAATGCTTTTCTCAACCACTGTTTTGTCGGGTTTTTTTCTTCCAGACCCAACATGAGTGAAGCTTCCTGCAAAAAACGGGATGACTATTTGGAGTGGCCTGAGTATTTTATGGCAGTGGCCTTCTTATCAGCACAGCGAAGCAAAGATCCAAATTCCCAGGTAAGTGAATTTCATAGGAGAATGTTTGGATACTCACATATAATGAGATGCACACGAATGAGAAAATTACAGAAAGGGGAGACTCAATGTGTCAACTTCAAAAATGCAGAGTAAATCTGCTGCCTTTTGTGCTGCATCCCTGCATGCTTACTTTCTCCTGTGAGACAGTAAATTGTCTTATGTTTTGTTAATTGCCTCTTATGCCCGTCTGGGGCTGGAGGTGCGCTTTCTTTGACTTGTGGGAGCTGCCACGGAAAACAGGCAAGGAGACAGAGAGCTCTCCGCACCTGCAGCAGCGATGTGTCTGTTTTGAGCCCTGTAGTCCCGCTGGTTTCATTCACTGCCTCCCCAGTGGCAGACCATCCACTTGTAGTCACCAGGCCTTTGGGAATGTTTCCCTCTAGGTCGGAGCCTGCATCGTGAATGCAGAAAACAAGATTGTCGGGATCGGGTACAATGGAATGCCCAATGGGTGCAGCGATGACCTGTTGCCGTGGAGGAGGACAGCAGAGAATAAGCTGGATACCAAATACCCGTATGGTAGGGCATGCTTTCCTGTTCCGTTCTGCTTGGTGACATAGCCTGGAGAAGGCTTAATTAAGGAAGTTGGGTCAGAAGGCATCCTCTCTCTTTTTCAGTCATCAACAGCCAGAAAGAAAAAATGTCCTGTTGAACTACCCCAATTTCCTGTCCCCTTAAGTTCCAAAGAGAGCCACGGATGGAAGCGTGGCAGTGGTCACAGCCTGGTGCTGAGGTCCAGGGCTCTGTTGCCTGTGGTGGGCCTGGCGGGCTTCACTGGTAGCCTGCTGGCCTGCATGACACCAGAGCATTGATGATGGCCAAGGGATGTGTGTGGTGGCTCTGCAGGTTGTTTCTTCACTACTTGGAAGCAGGGTCAACTAAGCAAGTGCCGGCAGGGGCTTTGCTCTGGTGGGAAGCAGGCTTCATTCAGCCCCGGGCCCGATGAGGGCATCTCACTCCAGCTTGTCTCCCGGAGGCGGAATCAAACTTCGAGTAGAGCTAGAGATCAAGAGAGGGATGATGGCCGGGCGCGGTGGCTCACGCCTGTAACTAGCACTCTGGGAGGCCGATGCGGGTGGATCGTTTGAGCTCAGGAGTTCGAGATCAGGCTGAGCAAGAGCAAGACCCTGTCTCTACTAAAAATAGAAAGAAATTAGCCAGATAACTAAAAATATATAGAAAAATTAGCCGGGCATGGTGGCGCATGCCTGTAGTCCCAGCTACTCGGGAGGCTGAGGCAGTAGGATTGCTCGAGCCCAGGAGTTTGAGGTTGCTGTGAGCTAGGCTGACGCCACGGCACTCTAGCCCAGGCAACAGAGTGAGACTCTGTCTCAAAAAAAAAAAAAAACAAAGGGATGAGGCAGGTGCTTCCTCTAGTGCCAGGGACTCTGCAGTCCCACAGCGGGCTCTGGCCAGGCCAGAAGTGTGTCATCAAAAACCTTTGGCTTCGCCATCTCTGGATTTCCTCTTGAAATTAGGGAAGGGTGCTTCTTAGAATGTGTTGCCCGTCTGGGACCCAGGGAGAAAATCCCTTCAGAGACTGTCTGGGAGGGACAAGCCACACCTTCACTCTTCCTTTTTTTCTGTGGAGAATATGCAACTAATGCCATAAAAGAGGCAAAGTGGGCTGCACATACTTGGTTGCTGATTTTTCTTGATGTTAGGCCCTGTGTTTTATGTCTAAAAATGAATAGACTGGCTCTGTTGGAAGTAAAGTAGACGAAGGCCATTCAAATGGGAAAGATTGTGCCTTCAGGAAGCCAAGTTCAAGCCATGATGTAAGACCTTTCTTCTTGGTTGACTCTTTCCTAGCAGGTTTTCCTATGGGTTTTTCTCATGAAGAATTTCAAGTCTACATTTAGTCTCATTTATATATTTTCACTAATGTTCCTGGACCTTAATCACGTTAAATAAGCCCCATAAATTTCTTTTTAAACAGCTGAAGGGCGGTTCCTCCACGTTTGAAAGAATAAGGACAAGGGAACCTCGGGGAGAGGAGGGACTGGGGCTGGAGGGTGGGGAGGACTGGCCCGCACTGAGGGTCTCCAGGCTGTGAGGATAGCTGGGTGATTAAGCGGGTCGAATAGTCAAGTGTCAGTCTAATTTCGCCCTTGCAGGAGTCAGGGAAAGGCTCTGAGCTGGGGAGCCTGTCTCCTCAGCCCCAGCTTTACAGCTGGTGGTAGTGAGCGACATGAAGTATGTGCCAACATATCCGAGGAACTTTCTGTCATCTTGATTTTGATTCTGTGAGCTTTCAATGGTGAGAAAGAAAAGGGATGATTAGTTGTTTCTAGGTCCACGCAAAGATAATTTTTCACAGTGCAGTTCAGTGTCCCATATAAAAGTGGTGAAAGTGCGAGTTGATGTGTTGAAGATCTGCATTGAAATGTATGATCACTATAGTCAGTATTTACCCAAGTCAGGACGGTGAAATGTTGGTCCTCGTACTGCACTCCGATATGGAGGAATTGTTAGATGTTAGTCTGTCGTTCTCAGGCTGGTTGCAGAGGATACCAGTGGTTGGACCAGTGTAGAGGGGTCCTCAGTGGTCACTGGGTGGCTTTCCTAGCCGGACCTGGGCCTTCTTCAGTCACCGGGAGCCCCAGGCAGATTTGCAGCAGTGACCTAGAAGCCACAGCTTTGTAGTGCATATGCAACACGCCCCAGCGCCCCCCACCCAGACTTCCCAGTGCTCTGTAACTTCTCAAGCAGCTGGTTGGTTTGTTACGAGACACTGCCTCTTGTTCAAGTTGGGGAAAATACCTTTCAGAGCCTCTTTCCAGAAGGAATTAAGAAAAAAACCCTACACGAGCATTTGTCCAACTTCACTGATTGTTTTTTATTAAATAGTTGCTGAGTTTCTGGGCACTGATTGTCCATCTGCATTATTTTTTATGATACTTCCAGGTTTGCAAAGCTCCCTGCCCTTATCAATTATTCATTTTATACATAGCCATGTTAGAATGTAGACAGTTTTCTTTCACAAGAGTAAGCTTGTAATTTGATGTACCATAAAAGTTGTAGAAGGTACTAAATGGTTTTTAAGAGGCATTTAGTATTACTACCACCATAATACTAGTAACGATGGGCTTTAAGTCTAAATAACGATGACTGCATGTAAACTGTATACTCATTCTGGTCTTTTCAGGGCTTTACAGGCCACAGAGAAGTAAATGTTTGGATTGCCTGGAATGTAATAGAAATGCTTGGTGATAATTGCCTAAAATGCAGGTCCTTTTTTTTTTTTTTTTTTGCTTCTGTATTAAGATTTCAAAAATTAATTTAAAAAAATAAAGTAATACTGTCTGGACTTGGGTAGCTTAACTCTTTCTTTTCTCATCTACATTAATGGTGACTGAGCTGCTGTACCCGGGAGGAAAGATTCGTAGGTTATGCGTTAATCCCTGTAAAGGAGCTTTAGAGATGATCTAGAGTTCTAGGCTAATGATTTTTAACTCCTTTGAATATATGGGACTCTCTTTTAAAAGTCAAAAGAACTTTCTAGGACCCCTACACAATGCTAAACTCTTAGTATCTTTTGAGTAAGAAACTCCATGATGACAAATCCAATCAGTAATACTTTACATTAATCTGAACTTTACTAATCAAAGACCATTTATGTGTGTTTGGGAAAAGTTTATATATGTGCTAGATGTGATATTTATCCAACTTCAGACATGCTGAGACACCCCAGAATACCTCAGTAACCTCAGGGTTCTATGCCCGTAGGATCTAAGCCTACCCTTTTAAGTAACTTCTGTAATGCCGCACATGCTGGGTGACATCTCCTAATTCCAAGGTCAGTGCTCTTTGTGCTACCCGACTCCGTGCCCCTCCTGTGGGGCACAGGAGTTCAGCTGTTCTGAAGTGTCAATCCTCTCATTTTGCAGTTGGTCAGACTGAGGCTCAGATGGAGCGACTCAGAAAGCAGGAGCTTGGGGAGTGGTGGCTGTGCCGAACATTAGACGGAAAGCCGCGTGCACGTGACTGACTTTAACACTTCTTCCAAGGGGGCTGCAGCGGGCTGAATGATTCTGTCCTCCCCAAATTCATGTGTTGGAACCCTATTCCCAGTGGGATGGCATTTGGAGCTAGGGCCTGTGGGAGGGAATTAAGCCCTGAGGGTGGAGCCCTCATGGATGGGATTAGTGCCCCTATAAAAGGGACCCCAGAGAACTCCCTCACTCTTCCCACTGTGAGAGGATGCAAGGAGAAGATGGTGCTCCCCAGAACCTGGCCGTGCCGGCACCCTAATTTCCCAACCTCCAGAACTGTGAGAGAGAAATTTCTGTTGTTTATAAGCCACCCGGTCTGTGGGACGTAGTTATAGCAGCCTCAGCTGACTAAGACAGGGAGCTTGAGAACTGTGTAAATTTGAATTTACCAATAACGTACAACTTAATTCAACTTATTAATTCTGGAAGTTGGAAGTCATTAGTCTTGATTGACACTTTGTGGGGAGGAGGGAACAGACTGCTTGTAACATAATAGGAAGACAGAGCTTTTTCTGGGCCGTGTCTCTAGAGAGATATTTTTAAAGGGTGTTTTTGTTCTTCCAGCTTTGGGATCAAAACTTCATGAAACTATTTGATTATAACGTAGTATTAATATGGAAAATGAAAATTCCCTCTGCTAAAGAAACTGCTTTTTTTTCATCCTTTTCCTGAAAAATCCAAAAGATAGGATGATGTCAGTAACATTAAGTGGCAGGAATAAGGCAATGTTATTATGCTGAGAACCTTTTCAGATGAATGACAATTAAAAAACCAGGAAGCAGCAGATTTACCTAATTTACTATATTAAAAAACTTCGGAAGATTTTTATTTTTATGAGGGGGTGGGTTGCTACGCCCGCGATGAAGTATTCAGTTGACATTTTTAGTTCCTTTCTCTTTGTGAAATTCATTACAGTGAAGCACATTTAATCAAAATACCAATTTTATAAAATGGAGGTAAAATACTCTTGGTAATTCAGATATCACTCTTTCCTTGGGTTTTTGTAACCAATTTTGATGATATAGTTTACAGACTAGAGAGTTGGAGAATTAACTTCTTCCCATGGTTACACTTGAGGGAAGTTTTGGTAATGCTTGCTTCACTCACCAAGCTGCCCTGCATGGCCTGCTGGCTCCCGTCGGCAAGGGGCTTTCTGTGTGAGTGCCTCTGTGCTCAGCCCCCTCCTCCCATCCAAATGCATCAAGGAACCACGTTTCTTTGCCTGCTGCATCATGAAAGGGACCAGAGAGTCTTTACTCTCCAGGAGTGCCCAGTGCATTGGGCAGAAATGGAGACATGGGGCTCTTACCAGAGTCATTTCCTATTTCTACAGGAATACCCTGAAAAGGCTATAATGCTGAGAAAGAAAATGCTGAAAACTTTGGAATTATTAAGGCAAGAGAGTTTAGCACGGCCACTTTAAACCCTATTGCCAGCATGGGGCAGTGCTTCTTTAAATTCTATATTTAAATTTCATCTTTATTTTTTAGACTTAGCATATTGTTAAGCATGCACAGATGTCAT